CTAACGAACGAGGAGAGAAGCGTACGAAGTAAGCTAGGGAATTAAACATAAATAGGTAAATATGGTAAGGTGGGAAAGTTAATCACACTTTACAAACTCTAATACTACTTACAATTACATACAGTTTTCCTCTATCCTTTAATGACATAGCGTCAGAAGTTTACCGCCGGGAGCACCTCCCGACATCGTTGCAGGTCTTGGGGAGCTCAAAGCGGTGGAGGAGCGGAAGAAAATCGAGTTGGGTGCAGGAGTGCTATCAGCACTAAAACACAATCAATCATTGTCATACGTACAGTTAAAAATAACGGTTCTTATAATTCTAACAATAGGAATTTATTCTCATTTGAATCACACTTCTATATAGAGATATCATCGATATATCCTAAATTCGTATCATCATGAGTTTTTAATAGTCAAAACGGCTGTAAAAAGCTTTTGGAGACCTCCTTCCTTTTTGAGGCCACTAAAATAAATACTAGTATATGTTAGAGTTTATTCAAGTTCTACTTTCCAATGTTCATACGCAGTCCGCAGATAATTTAATTTATTCTGAGTTTACAAAAAAAAAAAAAAAAAAAAAAAAAAAAAAAAAAAAAAAAAAAAAAAAGGGTTAATATTCTGAATATTCCAGTAGTGGAAACCATTATTGAGGCATTATTTTCAAGAATGCAAAATACAACTACTATTTATTTCAAAGGAATCTATTGTGGTATTAGCTTTTTAGAATTCCATCAACACAATTTATAATGAGAATAAATATTTTCCAAACAGTAGTGTGAGTAATAACGTTTATGGGGCCAAGGTAAATTATCTTCATTTTTTTCCAGATTTGCAGTTTATTGGTTTGAAAGGTTGAATTATCATTATTGATATTATAATTAATAATTGTAAATGAAATAATTTCGGATCACATCACACAATCATCATATTATTTAAAAAGAAAAAACATCTATCACTGTCGGCAAGGTGGACGCGTAGAAGAAAAGGCAAAAGTTGAAAAAATCGAAAGGATATTAAAAGTGAAAAAGAAATTATATGTAATGATGAGAAATACGAAGTAGGATTCACATTGTAGTTTTTATTCTGTGTTCATCAGAATAAAAATCAAACCGTATTTGTCCGCTTTAATCGGTTCATTTAAACTGCTAAAAAAGGAAAGGTATTGAAATACTAAAAATAATTTTTTTATTTTTTTTTTAAATTATAATAGGTAATCTATTATTATTCACTTTTTACACTAGTACGTACCCGTGCGATGTACGGGATATAGATATCGTATCCGTGTAATACACGGGATATAGATATTAAATGAATTATATATTCACAGTTTTGTCCGTTTAAGTCTAAAAAATAATAGGGTTATTATCTATTTTCTACATCTTTTAATCAATGTTAAGTTTAAAAAAAGATAAGTTTTTTTCCACACCTCTTAACCAACGTTGTTTTTTTAGGCAGAACATTAAATATGAGCATAAGACTAATTTGTAAAATGATTGATATATCATCTCACTAAAATATTTATACTAATAAAAATTTAATTTTACCATATAAATTTATCTATTGATAAAAAGAAAGTTAACAGTCTTACTTATTCTTGTTCACCATATAATATTTAATTATTATTTTATTATATAATAAAAAAGAATACTGTTAAATAGTGTAGTATAATTGTTATAAAATTATATGAGTTATTTTTTTTACAATATGGATTTATTATCTTTTTATGATTTGATAATATAACTATAATATATTCTTAATGATATAATAGTATGAGATAGGATTTACATAATAATATGAATTTATTCCTTAATATTAAGATATTGAATTAAATAATATATGATTCACTAATTTGTAATATGTCTCTTTTTATATTGAAAATAATCATGTGATTGAGTAGATATAACAATTATCTATAAATTCCTTCATTTAAGGAATAATTTTTAAATTGGTTCAAGTGTTGAATGCAACCCGATGTAACTAAAATGAGAAAAGATTTTGAATTTTAAATTTTCACTTCGAAACCACACGTAAATTTGGATGCAGATTTTATTAAAATTGAATTCAACAAAACTCATAATTTTAGAGGCATTTAATGATACCTTATTTTATGATATAAAAAATCTAAAAACTTTCTAAATATGCTACCCTATTATAAGTTGACTTTTCTAATTACTAATTCTAATAAGTATGATGACTTTTTATATAAGTATAGATTTGAGCTTTCACTAAGATTTTCTTACTTAATTTCTTTACTTATTTTAGGAAAATTACAGTCCAGAACTATTTTCATTGGGAATTATGAAATTATTTAAGTTGATAATTTTGTTTAACTAACTAAAATATATTATTAAAAAATTACTAATATTACCAACAGGTGTTGGCTCAAGTGGTAAGCAGCTTGATGTCGTTTAAGCAAGGTCTCAGGTTCGAGTCCTTGTGAATGCAGAAAACCTTGGGGGGAGACTCACCCACCATTGTCAGGTGTGCGACCTGGGTCGACAAACGGATTAGTCGGGGCAACGCTCCAAATACCGTAGCTATCTACTAAAAAAAATTACTAATATTACAGAGACTACTAAGCTCCCATTAGAATTATGGAGGTAATTAATCAAGGGAGCTAAACAGAATACAAACACAATAATAATACTAGCAAACTCGAACATTGCATTAAAAAAAAAAAATTATACATAAAATAAAATGAGTGAGTAACAAATCAAAATAAATATAAATTTTATTGTTGATATTATTAACTTAATACATTAATATTTTCAATTATACACCATAAAAATATAAAAAGATGCTACGGTTCCGTTATGGAACTATCCCATCGAAATTTGTAACCATTACATCAATTATCTCTAACGATTACATGATGACTAACAGAACTTTAGTATTTTCCAAAAATATATATCATGTTCAATGACCAACGGCCATCCAGTTGTCAAACCACTTTGTAGAATTTAATCCGTAAATTCAATGCTAGCCGTATGTACTCACTTCAGAGGTTTTAACATTGTTCTAAAAGCGCTAGGCCGCATTTAAGCACTCGACCACCGCCTAGCGTTTAGAGCATCTAAGCGGGGCCTAGGTGACGCCTATTCGAGGCCTATAAATTAATATTTAATATTTTATTTTTATTTATTTTTATTACCTACAAAATAAACTATTTCAATTTATAATAAATCTACACACCTAAATCTAAATTATAATATTAAAATATATTAAAGAAAATATGAGAACAAAATAATGTAATTAGTATTTAAAAAAATTAAAAAAAAACAACTGAAAAATTGTCGTCGAGCCCGCCTAGGTGCGCCTAGATCTGCTTATGCCTGCCTAGGCGCCGCCTAACTGTCTGGCCGTCGAGCCGCCATGTCCGCCTAGGAGCGCCACCTAGCCACCTCACCTATTTTTTCTATTTATTTGTGCAAATTGGAGGCACCCGGACACCGCCTCGGCCAATTTTTAGAACAATGGATTTTAACCATCCCATTATTAAGAGCGTCTCCACCGCTACTTCATATTATAGAAAATAGCCACATTAGCGTGGAAAAATCCTTCCAACGCGCCCAATTTACGTTGCGCCACATAATTTTTTTTTTATGTTTATGTAGTTTAATGCAATATTAATGATAATTTTTGTATAATGTACATTAATAAATACATTTTCATGCTGAAAACTTCGTGTAATGTATTTTTTATGCTAATTTTTTTTTTTTACTTTTTATCTATTGATGTATTATGATTTTATTTATAATTTTTAAATATTAAAATGGTACCATATGAATAAAAATTTAACGCATTCAAACAAGTAGATTTCATGGATATTCATATATATACCAATTTATTTAAAATAAAACTAAATAAAATAAAATTTTACTATTTAGGCATTAAATATTTTATATAAAATTAAATAAACATATCTATACCAATTTATTTAAAATAAAAATAATATACCATATTTTTATTATTGGGGTAATATTAAAATACATATATATATATACCAATTTATTTAAAATAAAAATAAATATAAATAATAATATATTTAATGTAGAGTAAAATGAAGATTTGTAGACGTTTCACTCTGCTCTTGAAGTTCACGCTAGATTAAAAATAAAGGCTGGAGAAAGTGTTAACACATTCACATGAGCTTGGGGAAGTTTTATTCGTCCAACTGTATTTTGCGGGACGGTAAAACTCTCATTTAGAAGCAACTTATCATTAAATTGATCATGTTTATTGAAAAATGCTACACTCTCGTTACGGAATCATTCCGTCAGAGTTTACAATCATTAGATTAACTATTATCGACGGTTACATGATTATCTATCGGTAACAAATTCCGACGGAATAGTTCCAACTCTCATTTAGAAGCAACTTATTATTAAATTGACCATGTTTATTGAAAAATGCTACACTCTCATTACGAAATCATTCCGTCAGAGTTTACAATCATTAGATTAACTATTATCGACGGTTACATGATTATCTATCGGTTACAAATTCAGACGGAATAGTTCCAACTCTCATTTAGAAGCAACTTATTATTAAATTGACCATGTTTATTGAAAAATGCTACACTCTCATTACGGAATCATTCCGTCAGAGTTTACAATCATTAGATTAACTATTATCGACGGTTACATGATTATCTATCGGTTACAAATTCCGACAGAATAGTTCCGGGACCGTAGCATCTCCTGTATTTATTAACAATAAATAAACACAAAACAGAAAAAAAAAAAAAAAAAAAAAAAAAAAAAAAAAAGTATAAAAATAAGAGAAATTGCTAAATCAACTTCTGGATTATCATCTTAACCTGACAACTGTAAAATTGAACGAACCACTATACAAAAAGTGCCAAAATAATCACCTTCCCATGGTTTTGAGTGACAGTTGTTCTGGAAGGTGAAAGAATTAGAGTGGCGAAAATTAGACATGGCTGCTTAATAATATGATCATGTCAATTCGATTCAATTCAATTCAATCATCAATTACTACTAATGGAGAACAACTCTTTGGTACTTCAATCCCATGGCGGCCATGGACGACGTCTCCGACCCCTCACTAAACCCTCTCTTTCTATTGTAATTATTGCTCCCACCACTCAACATCCGACCGCAGTTGTTGAAACTTATCATCGGGTCCTGGCTCCCCGCCGCCGGCACCACCACCGGCGGCGGCGGGATCTGGTACGCCTCGAGCGGCGGCGGCGGGTGGCGCCACTGCGGCAGCGGCCCCGCCAGGAGGAGCGTCTGCAGGAGCGGGCCCGCCTTCATCACCGCCTGCAGCAGCCGCCCCTTCTCGGGAAGCGGCCCCTCCGGCGCAACCGGCAGATCCGCCGCCGCGGACGCCGCCGCTGGGCCGCGGGGGGAGGAGACGATGCTCTCGTCGCAGTCGGAGGAGGAGAATGCGTGCCTGGGGTCGTCCTCGACGCTGGAGACGCCGGAGTTTGGGGCGGAATGGTGGATCTGCTGCTGGAGCATGAGTTTTTCGAGGATGGCTTTGTGGCACTTCTCTTGGGCCTGGTCACGCTCCTTTAGGGCACGGCTAAGGAGCTCCTTAAGTTGGGCTATCTGCTCGTCTCGAAGCTTGAGCTCCTGTTGGGCCTTGAGCCTCGTGTCCTCAAGCTCCATTGTCAAGATTAGGGACTGCCTCAGCTCCTCCATGCTCTACTTTCATAAACAATACAACATTATCAATACAACAAACCTTTGAAAATAAAGAATGATTTGGAATCCATTGTGCATTGTGGAGATTGATTCATTGATTGATTGATTTTTTTTTTTTTTTCTCAAATAATGGTGTGTGTCACTGTCACTCACTCACCTTTTCTTGAGGGAAGTAATTGGCAGTAGTCCAGTTGAGTTGAAGGCTTCTTTGGTTGTCCATATCTATGTGAGCCTCTGTCTACAACTGCAAGAGTGTTGTTGTGTCTGTGTGTGTGTGTGTTTATATATAAAAAAAAAAGGTTTGTTTGTTTGATTGATTGATTGCTTGGTGAGAAGATATGATGAGATGTGGGGTGGTATTGAGAGAGAAAAGCTGAGAGGAATTAATTTGGAGAGTGGAGAGAGTATCTTCTCAATTCATTAAGGGGCTGGGGGGGTTTTCAAGTCACTGGTTTCTAGTCCTTATAAAGGCCTCAACTGATGCCACTGTTTTCTTCACTCTTATTTTTTAACCAAAAATTAAAAGGGAAAAGAATAATTAGGATGGAATCAGGAACAGAAAAAGGCGTGTGTTTAGTAGAATTTTTTAACCCCATGGATTTGAATATATATATATATATATATATATTTTTTTTTTTAACTTTCTTAAAAATACAGTACCTACTCAAGGTTATTTTCAGTTTTCGGTTATCAATTGTAGTATATATACCATTTATAAACTAGTTATTATAAAACAAAAAACAATCCAATTTAAACCAAACATAAACAAAAAATATATTGAAAAAGTTACTATAGTGGTAATTGTAAGAAAAATTGGTTTTGTACCGATTTTACGGTTCCATTTTTTGTAAGTGGAAGACATAGAAAGTTCTCAAAACTATTTTAAGGTGAATGAGAAATTAATTCTAAATTGTATATGTGGGAAATATAAAGTTGAAACAATGAGTATAAGTAACTCAAATTATTTGATTTGTAAAAACATTCTGTTTTGGACAAACTAAACGAGCCATAATTATGCATTATATATACTAGAATTGTAGAGGGGCTCGTTGGGACAAGTAGGGAAAAACATAACTCGATTCCAAGTCCGTATGAGCTCGTACGAGCCCGCGGTGCACGGGCGCGCAACTAGCTGCCCTTGGTGACCATAAGTATCTTTTGGCCACTAGATGCATCCGTTCTCGTTCGGACACGTTCCAAAAGATGTCTTTTGACATTTAAACCTCTTGGAGGTGTTTCCCTACATCTATAAATACCCACACATATGAAATCATACATAACTTGAACAACATGAAAATTAGAGAGCTCTTGCATTATTTTTTAAAGATCATATAGCATATTGTGGTCTATGATTTTTCCATTGAGTCTTGAGAGTTCCAAACAATAGTAATGTTCGCCGAAGGCTTGTATATTAGAAGTACCGCTAGATACAAGTTGAAAGTCGTTGTATCTTGGAGGCGTTTATCGTTAACCGTGGGTATTTTATGGGGCAATTACGTGCCTCGACTTTGATTTTTGTTTCGTTTTTCTTCATTCTCCTTAAGCCTTCTTTTTTATATTCACAAACCACACAAACTACAATCTTAAGACGAAATGTTGTGAGTTCATAAGATGGCAACAGAATGAAACCAAATGTCTTCTTCAAGTGCTCAACCGACCGCTACATCGGTTACCAATCTTTTCATCCGGATGGTAGCTTCTCCCGTCCAAGGCGAGAGATTGTCGAAGTTCAATGGTTCTGTTTTCAAGAGGTGGCAACAAAGGATGTTTTACTACCTCACAACTCTCTCCCTCTCTTGTTTACTTTTGGAGGACTCTTTGATCATCCCCGAAAGTGAGACTAACATTCAAAATCGTATGGTCTTGGATGCATGGCATCATAGTGATTTCTTGTGTAGAAATATCATAATAAACGGAGACGACACACTATATAATTTGTTTAGTCAGATTTAGATGGCCAAGGAGTTATATAATTCCTTGGAGGTGAAGTACCATGTCGAACATTACTAACTTTTAAAAAGTGGTAAAGGATAGTGCAAATTATTGAGGACAAGATAATACTTGTCAGAGCTCGATCTTTTCGTCGTGGTTCGAGTACATACTTGATTAAAATTCCACGTTTATAGCGGATAAAAAAAGAGCCACTTGACCCATAGGCGCTTATAAATATTGTCCTACAACCCTAACTAAGGAAGAAAGTATTTGTGTAATTTTTCGACTTTAAGTGTTGGAGGAACCAACAAGGTAGTGTGCTAAGAATTAATATTGGATATCGTGGATGTTCTTCGTGCCCAAGACATCTATAAGAATCTAGTTTTTGGACCATTAATTGAGTAAAGCCGAATTTACATTAGTTTGTGATCATCGACAAATATGTTATGTCAAAATATGATGTATTCTTAGCATAAGGAGACCTTAATAAAGGTCATATTACAATTATTGTAAAAATTGTAATCTATTGATTGACGAAAAAAATAATAAATAAGTTGGTCTTATTTATTGAGTGTTCTAATTTGTGGCATGATAAATTAATACTTGTGAATTTTAATACTAAAAGTTGGTGAATCTAGAATTGATATCATACAACAAATACCAAAATTGTGTTAAAATGAAAAGTGGCAAAAGCATCGTAATAAACGGTTGCTTAATTCACTAGTCCTCTCGAGATAAGTCATATCGGTAAATGTGATTTAAGAATTTGTGTATACTCGAGTAGGAAATATATTACACGAATGCACAAAGTATTGGCGTAAAGGTTTTGTAGCTTTGATTCATAATGATGATGTTGATATTCAATGAAATAGTTAAAAGAAATAATCACTCATGAGTACGTGACAGTTTCTTATTAATCTAAACGCTCATGTGAGAAGCAATTATTTCAAGCACCACACGAAGGTAGCCGTTTGAGTTATAAAAAGAGCAAAAGCATTCGTATCTATATCTTAAAATGTGAGAGTGTTTGGGCATGGAAAGCACCACACGAAGGTAGATGCGAAACTTCGTTTGAGTTATAAAAAGAGCAAAAGCATTCATACCTGTACCTTGAAATGTAGGTGTGTTTATGCCAAGGTGGAAATGTCTAATTAATGATATGAAAAGTTTGTTGAAATAATTTTGTCAAATAATTTCAAATTCATTAAATAAAAAAATGAGTCAATGAAAGTTCTTCTGACTCTTTGTGATTATAAGTCTTATGTAGACAATATGATGATCTTGGAATATAATCATAATGTATTCATGAATACCAAAAAGATAAACTTTGACATATAAAGTCTGTGAAATTCCGATGTAATTTTGTAGATAATGTTTCTAAGAGATCGGAAGTAATCGTTTTTCACAATCTCATTCTGTCAAATGTATGTTGAAGAAGTTCAATGAGTTCGATAAAGCCTCAAGCTAAAGTGTATGTAAAATTGACTCTACACTTAGCTAAGAATTCGGGAATAATTAGTTTCTCATAACAAAATTATGGTGAATAATTGGAGTCTTGAAGTGCTTGTCGGATAGTACTCGCCCCAATGTTGCATTTTAGTGAGAAAACTAAAATGTTCACGAGTAACTCGAGCGATGAATTTTGATCACGTTGAATCAAGTATTAGACTTGAAAAAATCTAAGACTAAAAGGGACTAAGTGTTCACTTTAGGTGGGTAGAGTAGTGTTATGAAAATGATCTAAGTATAAAGCTAGATCCACAATGAAGTTCGAGTTTATAAATTTGGACAAAAGGCGTGGAAGAAGCTAATGACTTAGAAATTTTCCAAAAGATATTCCTAGGTGGAATATATTGTGCTCATGGTGATGATTATTTATCAATCAGAAATTGAAAGAGTACAAAATAGTTTGTACAATAGTAAGTCTAGACATAGACGTCGGAGACTTAATTTCATAAGAAAATTATCTCGTGTGGGGGTTATATCAGTTGACTATGTGAAGTCAAAGATTAACCTAACGAATCCGTTTACATAAAGCATGAAACGAGATAAATTGTACAAACTGGTTAGAGGAATGAGCTTAATAAAAATTCACAACAAACGAACAGTCTTAGCGGTTACCCGACCATGAGAATCGGAAATCCCGAAATCTTGGTTCAATGGGAAAACTAAGTTTTGACAGTTCAGTGAAACACTTGAAAAATTAATGCTCATTTCTAGAACCGTCAAGTGTTAAAATTTGCCTAAGTGGTGAGATTAAGTCGAGGACTTTTAATGATTCCTATACCTACGGGTGGAGTAAGTCAGGATACTCCTTATAGGATAATCACCTTTGTAAGTGAGAAGTAAATAGGCCGCTTCAATCAAACACTTACTAAACTAAGATATGGTCCAAGGCCGAAATGGACATAACGTGAGAACAAGAAATTGTTAGAGTTGTTGTTGTGTGAGTACTATTGTCTTGGTGCACACAAACAACCGGTAAGTTCAAAGCATCACGCTACTAACCGGCTAGTGTATCCGGTAGTATTTCACTAAGGAAGATTCAAAGCCACAAGCTATCTATCCTGATGCAATGATGGTTCGCCGGAACTCTTAAGTATTGCCTGCATACATTAATTTCATTCATGTGGGGGATTGTAAGAAAAATTGGTTTTGTACCGATTTTACGGTTCCATATTTGTAAGTGGAAGACTTAGAAAGTTCTCAAAACCATTTTATGGTGAATGAGAAATTAATTCTAAGTTGTATATGTGGGAAATATAAAGTTGAAACAATGAGTTTAAGTAACATAAATTATTTGATTTGTAAAAACATTCTGTTTTGGACAAACTAAACGAGCCATAATTATGCATTATGTATGCTAGAATTGTAGAGGGGCTCGTTGGGGATAAGTAGGAAAAAACAGAACTCAATTCCGAGTCCGTATGAGCTCGTACGAGCATGCGGCGCACGGGCGCGCAACTGGCTGCGCAAATCAAAAGGTCGCAACCCTTGGTGACCATAAGGTATTTTTTGGCCACTAGATGCATATGTTCTCATTCGACACGTCCCAAAAGGTGTCTTTTATACTTATACCTCTTGGAGGTATTTCCCTACATCTATAATACCCACATAGATGAAATCATACATAACTTGAACAACATGAAAATTAGAGAGCTCTTGCATTATTTTCAAAGATCATATAGCATATTGTGATCTATGATTTTTCCATTGAGTCTTGAGAGTTCCAAACAATAGTAGTGTTCGCCGAAGGCTTGTATATAAGAAGTACCGCTATATACAAGT